GCGTACCTGTCGGCACTGCAGGGGGAGCTGCTGGCGCTGCAGGCGGCCCGCGGCGCCGGGCCCCGAGGGCTCGCCAACGCCTCAGCGGCGCCAAGCCCGGGCGCAGCAACGCCGAGGAGGAGGAGGAGGCGAAGGAAAAGGAGAAGGCTGTGGTGGCCGCCGCCATGTCGGTCGGGCCCCAGGGACGGAAGCGACGCCGTAACCAAGCGACGAGGGACGAGCCGGGGCAAATAGTGGGACCGACGGGGGGCGGGCGGAGCTGAGGGACGGGAGGAGCTGAGGGAAGGGCGGTGCTGAGAGACGGGAACAGAAGTTCACGGCAACCAAAGACTGCAAACGAAGTCCGACCATTTGCGAGGCCCCAGCTCTACCCTCAGGCGCAACGTCCTTCTCCCGGCGGCTCCGGCGGTCCCTCAGCTCCGCCCGTCCTTCGCCTCCGCCCCGCCCTCAGCTCCGCCCGTCCTTCGGCTCCGCCCGTTCCGCCGCGACTCCGGTCCCGCTACCTGTCTCGGCTCCTGCCTCTTCGCTTGGTTACGGCGACGCTTCTCTCTCTGAGGACTGACCGACGTGGCGGCGGCCACCACAGCCTTCTCCTTCGCCTCCTCCTCCGCGCTGCTGCGCCGGGGCTGGGCGTCGCTGAGGCGGTGGCGATCCCTCACTCGCAGCGCCAGCAGTTCCCCTCGCAGCGGCGACAGATACGCGGCGGTGATCGGGGAGTTTTCCTCCGCGCTCCTTCCTTTTCTTCCTCCTCCTCCTCCTCCTGCTCCTCGGTCCCCTCACGCTGTGGCGGGCAGCGCGCGCCGCGCTCGGTGGGCGAAAAGGGCGCGAAACGCCTGAGGGGGCAGCGGGCTCGGCTCCCCTCGGGGTCGCCCCAGCAGATTTCAAGCGCCTGTACTAAAAGCGTTGTCTTTGCTCTGTGTTTTCAGACGTGAAAAGTTGAGGCAGCTAAACAGTTACTGAAATAAGCCTCTGACCCCCTGGATATTCTGTATAGTGAGAATTGATTCTGCCAGGTTTGCCACAAACAGCTGTATTTCTGGACCGGCGCCTGCTTCTGTTTTCTGCCTCTGTTGCCAAATACTTTGAAAGTGTTGGAATAAAAAAAACTCTCTCCTACCGTCTTGGTAGTGTTAGAAGGAAAGGCATTACTTTATTTCTGGCCCAAGGTGTGTGTGAAAGACTGAAAGAATCCCAGTCCCCACACAGGCACCAGTAATAGTATTTTTCACCTGCTTTTACCTTTTAGAAAGCAAAGAGATAATTGATCATTGGTTCTAAATTACATAATTCTCTTTTCTGAGTTCCTATTCTACCTTCTTTTGGCTATTAATTTCTCCTTTTCTATATTAGTTCATAGCTGTAGTCTTTTTAGTGTCTTTTGCCCTCTGGTGGGGTTTTATGAGCACAAATACAAAGCCTTTTTTTTTTTTTTTTTTTTTACTCATTGAAGCATATCAAGGTCAGTTTAGCAAAAGTTACTGTTTTAGTAATTTTCCCAAGATACATACTTGCAAGAGTAGCTTATGACAGCATTTTGCTAAAACCTGGCTAAGAGTAAATTAAAGCCTAACACAATTTATGGTTAATTAAAAGGTTTAATTGCGACCATTGAAAATTAGATAAGCTATATCCTTTTCAACACTGCTAGTAACTGTTTTGTCCAGTTCTGCAAAAGGAAGGTGTTCCTGCAATAGTGATTTTCCAGAGGTTTTCATGTAGTATGTATGGGACATGTAAAATCCTGTTGTGATGCTCCATAAGAATGTTCTCATATTCTGTTCCCAAATACAGATGTTCAGTGTGGCTGGCTAAGTATGTTGGAAAGGTGGGTCATATAAGTGATACTTTAGTAAGCACAAGATATTGTTATTTAAAAAAAAAAAAAGAAAAGCAGGAGGGATTTCCTTTTTGTCTCAGTTTCATTTTGTACCATTTTCTTTCTCATTTTCTCTGCTTCAGCTAAATAAAAGAAATTGCATGGACATAGGAAGGGGAGGTGTCTGTCAGAGCAGGGTTCTGCCCCATCCCAGGCACAAGGAAAAACTGCCAGGTTTGTGTTGCATGAACACCTGACTTGCCTAAGGTT